ATTCGTTTATGGATCTGAGCATCCTTGCAGCGCTATCGGAAATTCTCAATATAAACTCGATGGCAGCCCAGGACGCAGCTGGTACACGTCTGGTATACCTTTTGATTCATCCCCATCTCATTATGGAAAGTTTCGACGATCAGTCAACGATAATTCCTCTCTTCATCTAACACTACCATTGGTATCTTTTGCTTTTTTTCTCCTTCTACCGTATTGATATGGTAGGGCCAGATTTTCTAAATTCCATGACTTGGGAGCACAGGCAATACACCGATTCCAGGTCAATCGACGGGAGACCAAAGTGGCGATGGACGACATCGCCCATGGTTCGAGACTCAAAGGCCCTGGACTATACAACCTTGAATGACGTTTCTGCGTTTGGTGCCTTGAAATCGCCGCACACTTTGTGATTTAGCCAAGTCGCCGCCGCTCTAGACGGCCCGCTGGTATTAGTGCTGCTCTGGGTGAATTGCTTCTACGATCCGCAAACCAAGGACAGGGTATTTGTTCGCTCACCAACTACGGCCAGATTTCCAATGTTATAGACCTCATCATTGGCTCTCCGTTTGGCCACGCTACAAGCGCTAACAATCCCGAACTGCGACGCTACGACTGGACGTAGGAATACATCCTGTCATCTTGTGCCATTTATCTAACGGTCTGCGTTTATAAAGCTGCTTGAACCACGGTATCGCACGCGGTCTATACCCTGCCCTTTTGATTATGGCTCTCCCCCAGGAAATACTCGATAACATTGTTGACGAGCTAAGCGACGATCATCATTCTCTTAGAATCTGCTCCGCTACCAGTCGTCTCCTCCATTACAGAGCCGTAACCCAGCTCTTCATAGATGTCTCCCTGCACCCGACCAATTACAAGGCCTTTATTGATCTAGCTGTCACTTCTCCATATATTGCCAAATCCGTCCAAACCCTTCGACTGGATGGTGGGCCTCTCAAACGCGACCAATACTTCACCACCGACACGGACTTGCCTTTTGCTCTCCAGGAGCTTGTCAATGTCCGGAACTTGCACGTCCGATCTGCCTTCTTGGGGCAGTTTCTCGCGTTGAAGAATCCTTTACTCCATCGTGCACTTTTAGCATTTCCCCTTTCCTCAATCCATCTCGATGAAGTCTACTTCAACGACAGTGGAGACCTTCTGGAGACGGTGTCGTTGATATCCTCTCTCCGGCGTCTCCATATAGGCACGCTCCTGTCAACCCCAACCCCAACGCCCGCTACTCCGAGTGAGGGCGAGGCGGTGGGTCTTACAGAACTCTGCGTAGAGATGGGCACCAGCGGCTCAATCGTCCATGCGCTTCTTTCCATTCCACTCGGTAATCTCGAAACGCTGGAGGTCAATGGGTGCAGCGCGTATGATATTGCAACCATCAACGGTGTACTGGCGCGGTGCCCCGTGAAGAGATTGGTAGTGGGAAAGTCGCTTCTCTGCACGTCCTTCCAGCGCACCTTTTGGATGAGGGACGGAGGAGGAGGACAAGGGCCGGGTCTGCATATTTATCGACTCCGGAACTTGGAGGTTACAGTTGGGGACCTTTACACCCAATTGCAGTGGTGGGTAGACGCGTTCAGAGGGGTGAAAGTGGAAGACAATATGCAACTCGACACTTTTACTATCAATCTGGAGATAACCAGCAAAACGGCGCAACCTCGTTCATATTTCCAGCCTGCTAGGTGGCGTGCATTGGACGAAGCCGTGAGCCGGTTGGGCTCATTACGGAGATTTATAGTGCGAGTCAATCCCGGTTTACTCGAGGCATTGTCCGTCATCCTTAGTGACGAGTGTAGTGGGCTGATAGGTCGAGGGATTGTGGACATAATACCCCAGGACGTTATAGGCTGTCGACAATGATTTGATACCTTGCAGGACTTTTGGAAATAAAGTACGAGTAGATAACGCAAATGGTTATTGGTATGAGTGTTTGTGGTCGAATTCTCATTGAAGAGACTGCTGCCCTTAAGCTTGAGGCCTCAGACAAAACTGCCTGTCTGTTTTAGTCTCCGATAGCTCAAGAAATGCAGATTGAGGCCACACATGGGTGCGGCCCACGTGGCCGGCTACTCAAGCCATCGGCTTTTGCATATTTTCTTCATCAACTGCCATCATCATTTTTTGTCAAGTAAATCTCTTGCTTCTTCTTTCTTACTTTTGTTCATTGAAATCACTGCTAGAATGGACGACGAAGACTCTCAACTGACTGCCAGATATGACGAAATGTCTGCCAGTATCTCATCAGCTCGCACACTTCTCCACGATTTAAAATCCAAGTACGTCGTTCCTTCACCACATCTCCAGTCGTTTGATTTGTCTTAGACCACTGGAGACTTCAGAAGGAATCTCTCTGCTCTCGCTAAAAAATCATCTTCTGCTCAACTATATTCAGTCGATGCTCCTGCTCTCTTGTCGACGCGCCCTTGGACATAGCTTGGCGACCAGAACACCGCCAATACAACCATTTAGTGACCCGGACCGAGATGCGCGCGGAGGCGACGTTGGAGACCTTGTAGATTCGATGATCGAAGATCGTATTACCTTGGAGAAGGTGAAAGCTTTAGAGGGACGGATGCGTTACCAGATTGACAAACTGGTACGAGTGGCGAGAGAAGGTGCAGATACTGACGCTGTGAATGGTATGTTCTGCCTTTCTGGAAACCCTCCAATATTCATCCCACTTCAGATCCCCTTGCTTTCCGTCCTAATCCTGAAAATCTCGTTGATAACAACGAAATGCCGTCTGAAGAGGAAGAGGACGGGCACGTCCAGTCTACAGCTAATGATGGGCTCTATCATGCTCCGAGGTTGGCTCCGATGCCTTACGTTCCCACCACCAAGGACAAGAATAAGGCGCGAGCACCTATACCGACATCACTTGCTGCCTTACGCCATACCGACCCCACTCTTCCCTACATCGAATCTACTTCAGGACTTGGTTCTACCCCATCGCTCAACGCGCAATCCTCTCGCGCTCGGTATCTCAAGCGTCTCAATGATTTCGAGGAAGAACAGTTTGGGCGTGTCATGCTGGGAAAGAAAGAAGCTAGGCGGAGAGCACGCGACGAGGAGACTTTGGCTATGGGTGGGGCACTTAGCGGTGTGGGTGAAGAAGGAAAAGGTCGCGTCCAGAGAAACAGAGGATTGGAGGATGAGTTCGCAGACGTTTTGAGGGATGTTGACCGCGGAAAACGACAAGGCGACGGCTATGACGAACTCCGGCAACGAAGCAAGCGGGGCAGCGTCCTGGAACGCAGCAGGGAGACGAAGCGAGATTCCCTTCCCGTGGACTCGCAGGATGCTCCTGGTATGAAACGCAAACGTTCACGATTCGAGATGGAGAGAAAATCAATCAAGAAACGTAGATGAGTCGCTTGAAACAGACATGCCTTATATTAAGCTAAATATGAATATTGTGGCATATAGTTGAACTATCTCTACTCCCCAGGGTATGGTACGTCCGAGTCTTCTAAAGGTATCAAGCCTTGTGGTACTCTGTGAAGTTGCACGACTTTGACATTCGGCGGGAGTACCACTTGAGAAGTCCTGTAAAGCTTCATCTTCTTGATGTGCCAACGCTCTGCGAGACTAGCCGGAAATGTCATACCCATGATCAATATCGTTTCCAACTGCAGGACCACGTCTGTTCTATCCAACGTTCTCCATCCGCTCGCAATAACGTCTAGTTTCTTCAACGTTGTCAGACCAGCAAGTAACCTGGACTGTGCCACAGTATCAGCTTCTCTGGTCGGATAGATTTCCACCATGCGCAGTTTACGCAAGTTGGGTAGTGCGCTAGGTGTTTGGGGAAAGCAACATGGAAGTGGGCAGAACCATATCTCGAGATATTCCAAGGAGGGTATATCGAAGACAGGGCGTAGGGGAGATAAATCTCCAACCCAAGAAGAAACAGCGAAGCGCCGTAAAGAATCAGGACCCTTCAATGGACGTTCCGGGGGTTCCTCTGTGATACGAAGGCGGGGAAGAGAAAGGGTATGGAGTTGAGGCAGGGAGAGTATGGCAGCCAAATCGGCTATGGATGCCCCTAGTCCCGACATGACGAGTGTAGTTATTTCGCGATAGTACGTATCACTTGTGAGATTGGTGGGTAAATGCGAAAAGTGAGTGCGAAGGGTTTTTAACCGCACGAAGTGGATGTCGGCAGGAAGCTGGGGACCATTCCCATTGACCACGAGGGTCGTGACCAACTCCATTCTTCCTAACAGCAACAACGGCGTGGAGGAAGTGGCAGCATCATGAATGATATGCAGTATAACGAGCTCCTTAGCTGTGATGACATCTATCAATCGAGCGTCTTTAAGATCGTTGTAAACATTGCTTAGGGCTTTCCCGGCAGCGTCCATGTCCCTTGCCCCCACAACGCGTATGATCGTTGTGAGTTTTCGTCGACATACGAGGTTCCAGCGACTGCAGACGGAGCGCGCGGAACGTAGATCGCCTTTGTCAAGGAAGTCAAAGACATAGGAAAGAATTTCGACGGGCATTGGCAGCGCATTGTTTATACGACAGCTCTGCTGAGAACGCATAGCGATGAAGCTGTGTTTGGTATCTCTGGTGGATGGATGGGAGCATGGTGTTTTGCGCCACCCTGCGGTGGATGCCAGCAGCAAGACGAGAATGAGGAGTAAAATCCAGGCGATCATGGATAGGATGAGTACTAGCGAAAGACAAGGGTGATGCTGTAAGTTCCCATCTACTGCGCCAGACGAGGTCAGCCAGGTGTTCCGTAAGTGATGCCTCATGTCCGGATCCACAGCCACAAAGAAGAACAGCTACTCGGCTCTAGATTTCAGACCACTACTCAAGCTAGTCAGAGGAACGAACTCCTACACGGGGAAGTCCAAGCTGAGGAGAGGCGCTACGCGAGTCGCGAGAGCGCGCTTGGATCGGCGTTGATCGACACATCAACGATGTCATGCGCATTTACCTGGTACCATCTGTCGTACGTGTGCGGCAACGAGAAAGCTGGGATGGCCGAGTCGTTAAGGCGAATGATTTGAATGTATCTCATCATTTGGGATTTCCCGCACAGGTTCAAATCCTGTTTCCAGCGTTTTGACGGAGGCTTAGTTAAAAGCATTTTTAATCGGGCTTGATTTTTGAAAGTTAGAGTCTACTGTTTTTTTTGTCCTTCCGATATTTGATTCGTCCTGAGCAGCGAGCTAACGAGAAAAATGGATATATCCAACAAAGAGACGATGTGATGCCTAAGGCTAGTACGTCAGGTACATCATCTCCAATACTGGAGGAGCGCGAGCAAATACGTGAAATCATTCCATGTACAAGCATTGAAAGTGTCGATGCATACTCTTTTGTCGGCGGTCGCGTCTGGATGCGTTGATCTGCCTCGACCTTATTTTCACTAGGAGCGCTAACAAGCCTCCTATGATTGCTCGAGTACACTTCCGGCAGGGCTAGCAAGCCAAACTTCTCCACGCTTGGACTGTTTGTACAACCTATTCACCAATGTCGATACTGATTAGCATTAGGAAATCGACAGCAGGCGTGAACGGTACTGCAAAGCAGATATCGAAGGGTGGCACGACGCGTCGAAAGTACAAGTGTGAATTGCAGTACTTGTTCAGATTATGAACATGCCGGAGCTGCGCAAATTTGGACAAGCCAGATATCGACACGCAGTCTACAGCGGTCACACGGACTAGCTTGCAGGGGTCGAGGCCGTCGAGTCCATATCTGCCATCTTGACATCCTCTGCAACATGCATTGGCTTGGTCGCTGACTTGAAGTTTTCCACTTGTGAAGCAAACTGTGTCAACTGATCGCTAGACACAATATCAGTTTATGGGGAAAGATGGAAGAGAGAGAACGACGTGCCGCCTACGGTCTCTGAGGCCCTCGAGCATATCGATGATGTCGTCCTGCTCGCTAGTCTTCAATTCGCCACCAGGAAGGTTGACAGCGAGTTCTTTGGCCTGAGCTAGAGATGTTTTGAAATCATTTGTCTAGAGTGTTATTGTTCAAAACGCGCAAATAAGAGGGATTGCGAAATGAGATAGCGAAGGTGCAATCAGAGACGTACCGCTTGTAACAGAGCTTGCCGGCCTTGAACTGTCGCTGTTGTGCCGGGATCCAGCTCAAGTATTGTGACAAGTTTACCAAGTAGGCTTGCATACAGAGAGGTAGGAAGGCTGTTACCGCTGTCTGGCATTTTTGTTTCTCCGGAGTTAGGGCCAGACATGGTAGTCAGGTCAAGAATCCATCAGGCTCAAGGTTGTATAATTGAAATCCTGCTCTGGTAGTAGATTTTAATTTTTGCCCTAAGTCTTAATCTCTGATAGTATATCGGTTAGTACACGCGCCTGTCATAGAATGCGCGCGAAAGCTGGGTTCGACTCCCAGTCAGAGAGCATGAACATCAAGAGGAAGTCTTTTTCCCTTCGAGCGTGAGTGCTTGATATCAGCAAGTTTTAGTACTGTAGATTCTGTATCTCACTTGAATCTCTCAGGCGATAGAGTGAACACAAACCGCTTTTAAAAGACTCTTTTCTGCATTCGAGACTGTAAACTTGAGCTTTTGGACCGTGACCTGTGACATAGATGGACTCACTCATACCATTCACGACGTCTGGCTCCCTAGTGGATTGCGTAGACAGTATGTCTCTTCTCTCTGGCATCGTCTACTTCTCTACGTCCCCCTGACATGACCAGGGAAGATGCTTGTCATTCTCAGAGACGGCCGCAAACTACAGGGCGTCCTACGGTCCTACGATCAATTCGGTGCGTGTTCTATTGGCTATTGTCCGGACAAACGCTAAGAGACCTGACAACAGCCAACCTCGTTCTCGAAGACACCGTCGAGCGTATATACCACAAGAATGCTTACGCCGACTTTCCGCGAGGCTTATTTCTTATCCGAGGAGAGAATGTCGTGCTACTGGGCGAGATTGTGCGTGTCGCTCGCTTTCTATAAACTTGGTGCTCAAATGTTATATTATTCAGGACCTAGACAAGGAAGATGAGGTCCCACTACGACAGGTTGATTATCCCGCGCTGGAACCCTACCATCACGCAGAGATCGAAGCCAAGAAACAACGCGAGGAGATAAAAGCACAAATTCTATTCGATGAAAAGGGTTTCTGTAAAGAGGGTGGCGAGGGCGATGGTTACTGAGCCAGAGATTGTTGTGCTATATAGTATCCAGGCGAGAGGCTGCGCACAGCCAGAGGACCCATCTCTACATTACTGATGCGTCCCGCTCATATAATTACGAGCGTGTATCATAGTCAATGCACTGTGTTTCAATGGAGATTCAACAAACAAGATGCTACAAGAAAACGGTATGGAGTAGGGATACACGTCGCCAAATGCAAAAAGGTCATTTCTTCTTCGAGATCTTGCCACGTCCGTTGCGCTTCGATGCGCTGCTCGCGCCATTGACCACCTTCGCATTGGTCTTCAGCGGAGCAGGAACCTCGCTAAGGTCCTCGATATGCTTTCGAATCTCCCGCTCACGGGTAGTCAACTTCATCAGTGCTTCCTCCTGCTTCTCCTTTTCATGCGCGATGTCGTCGTGTCGTACTGCCTGCCACCTACGCAGTAGTCAATAAGATGTAAACAAGACGCACGAAACAGACATACCCAACATGTCGATCGCAGTCTGCAGGTCCCGGACACCACCACTCCTCGTCAGAGCTGCCATAGTTCTCCAGCGCACCTTCTCCAAACTCCTCCCACTCCTCTTCGCCGAAACAAAGACGCTGATCCCAACCACACTCGTCCTGCTTAGCCTCTGCGCGACCAACAGCTAGCTCGAGTAATCGCTCGCGCCAAAGCGCCACATCCATACTCCGCTTCACCGTCTCCCGTTGCATGGAACGGCATCTAGTTGTGTCTGTAACTTTTCAACCTCGCGCTCCCTCTTGGTACGGGATTTTCCAATATGCCCATTACCCAAGCGCACTACGAGGCCTTCCCTACGCTCAGCATCCTTGACCTTTTCCCACAAATCGGCCTTCTTCCCACCCTTGGCAGTATATGCCTCAATTCGCCGGCGCATATTCTTTACACCGCATTCTTGAGAGCAATACTTTGACACTGCGCCCCGAGCTGGGCGTGGACAAGCTGTTTCGCGATCGGGATCCTCCAGTCCATTTAGACAACGCATTTTATACGTCGTTTTGAGATTGAGATGAGGATGTTCTGAAAGGACACGTCAATACTAAAATACAACAGAAGGCTTCACGACCTACTCATCACGCAGGGTGGACAAATGAACTGGTCCACCAGGTCCAGTGGTGTATCGGCCATGTCGACGCAACCAGGATGGTACCACTCATCGCAGCGATCACAGCCCACCATCGTATCATCATGGTTGTACTTTGCCCTGCAGAGACAATACAACCTATCATCCTCGACCTTTTCTTCCTCCTCATGGACGTCCTTGTCTTCCTCCGCTTCCTTCTCGACAGGCAAAGCGCTCGTCGACCGCGAACGTTCCATGACTTTGCCCTTGCCCTTCTTCTCTGCTGGCGCCTTCTTTTCAGCTACCGCTTTCTTTGCTTTCGGTGCCGGTTTGGCTCGCTTCTTGACTATAGGCGGTGGTGGCATAGACTCACGATCCTTGTCCTTGTCTAGCTTCTTCATCGCAGCCTTGCGCATCGGGGGTGCAAGAACCATTGGCATTATCGGCGCTGATGTAGAAGTCGGAGGTGCAGGGGGTATGGGGGTCAAAGTGGATGTAGGTGTTATCAGATTCAATAGCTCACTGTCAACATCCACATCCATAGGCGTGTCCGCGCGGACGGAAGGAGTAGGAGCGCGCGACATGAGAGTCTCTTCCAACTCAGCGTCAACATCCATGTCCATCGAGGGAGTAGACGTTCGTAGCTTGGACCGCGGCACCTTGTCACTAGTGCTGCTGGAGGCTGGAGAATCCGCGAAATGCTCAAGGAGCCATTCATGCGCATCTTCTTTGTCCTTCTCCCTGGTCTTTGCTTCCTTCTTTTTTGAAGACGTTTTTTCCTTCGCCTTGGGCGTTTCGTCCTTCTTTTCCCTAGGTTTTCCTTTCGGTTTCTTGGACTTTGGGTCATCTCTATGCTTCCCTTTGTCATCCGGTACGTGCGCCTCGGAAGGATTTCGATCAATGTCCATGGCCATGTCCTCTTCTTTGGGAAGTTGAGGGACTTCCTTGGAACTCCAGGCCGTTGCATTCACCGGACTTGGAACGACAGGCGTAGGTGGCAAAACGCTGGTCGCTCTCTCGACCTTGACGTCTCTCTCCTTGTCGATGCGTATGTGCATCTCCTTCTCTCGCTCTCGGTCAAGCATCTCAACGGGATTGTGATTTCGATGAGCATGAGCACGCCCCTCTTGACTTCCAGGCGGCAAGCGCTTTGTAGTTGAAGGAGGGTGAGTCGGACGTTCTGGCGGAATATGTATAGGTAGAGGTGCATCAACAAAGGGAGAAGGATTGGATATGTGACTAGTTTGCGCTGGTGGTGTTGAAGTTCGATGTCTGTGTATAGAGTGCGAAGGTGAATGCGCGAGTGCGTGTTCTGAAGGTCGATGGGGTGGCTGGTGTTCAAGAACAGGAGACTGGGATGGCAAGAACGGATAGACTGGAGGATAGGGTCTTTCATCACGAGCTGTTCGCGTCTGCCCATTTCGATCCTCGCGTAGCTGCTCATGGGGTGAAAAGTCCGAGCGGCTCTCATATCGTGGGAGATTGATTATAGCAGAAGGTGGCGATACGTTCATCGAAGTAACGGCAGATGGTGGGCGTGGCGCAAAATTTGGTCCGCCATGAGTAGTCAATTGGGGCGAGTGGTGGGAGGGCAGATGCTTCTGATGGAACCCCGTGGATGAAAATGGTGACATTTGCATATCCTGCTCGGTGGCTCGTAGGTCCACTTCCCGAGGAAGGCTAGTAGGGAATGCTGACATCTCGGCAATGCCATGTCTACTTGACTTGGGTGATGTCGGGTAGGGTTGGTGGGGTATACTCACAGACCCCAGATGGTCACGGGGAAGCAATGTCGGAGACGTTCGAGGCGATACCGCATCTCGATGAGAGAACGAATCACGAGTCTCTCG